TTTATTATTATTATTATTATTATTATTATTATATTTTAAGTTTGGTAAATTTTAAGGATTGTTTTTACTTTCTACATAAAACGACAAATTCTTTTTTTTGATAAAAAAATGGAGAAATATATTAAATAATAAGAAAGTACAATAAAAAAACTCTGCATATAGCCTAAAACATGATAGCTTAAAAAACAGAATCAAAAGCATAACCTACAACCTAATAACAGATTTAAACTATGCCCATGACGAATATAGACAATTAAGTAAAAAAAGCCATATACAACTAGATATTGCAATTGCAATCGCTGTATGGGCTAAATAGGGCTACTAAAGTAGAAAGGAGAGTCGCTATGAGCATCGAAAGCTACTGGACAAGTCCTCACCTATTTAACCAGCTTCATAGGGAAAGCAAGGGATTTCGGCAACAAATAGTCCCCAACCCACAAGTTGCCGCCCTAATTTTCACCGACTACTTTCAATCATGTGCCCATCATTACCGATCCTCTGAAAACCCTTGCAGGCAAAACTTTGTTAAGGGAACTAGAGCCCCTTTGCCAATGTGAGTAGCATGCTCCCGTGCAGATCAGAACCTGATGTGCCACTGCAACCCTATCAGTATTTGGCTACTAGATCGGAAAGTGGAGGGTGCTAGTTTCTCCGATTGCCACCCCTGCCAAGATCTCATCTGATGAGACATGCATAAGTGAAAATCCAATTCAGAGAATGGGAGAAACCCAACCACTGACCGGATCAAGTCCCTCGGCATCCAGACGCAGTCGTCAAAAATCAACAGCCGATGCGGATTGAAAGGAGTCTTTGCCTTGTGGTCCCTTGGGTTGAAGTTTCCAAAGCAAGACAGACGACAATGATGGAGGAAGGGAGCAAGAGGAGAAACCCTTGTCGGAGAAGAAGAGGAAGAGGGAGAAACTCCTAACCGAAGAGAAACCCTAGGGAGAAACCCATAGCCACCGCCCCCAACCCTGGGCAGAGCACGGGAGATAATACGACTAAAATGACAAATTCTTAAAAGTTAAAACAATTTTAAATATTAAAAATACTACTAAGACAAGTTCAAAAATTCTAATAACTTGTTTGGTTTAAGCGGACAGTGATAAAATTTCTTATTTGGATAACAAAAATTGGAGGGGATAAAATGACCTCACTAGCGGGGAAGCTGTTTTTCTGTTTAGCAAGGAAGCTTCATTCCTGTTACATTAATCCTCAATTTCAAATAGTTTCCTTCCCTTTTTTTTTTTCTTTTTTTTTGGTGTAGGAGAGCATCACGGAGAAAATCAAGCTTGCATCACGGAGAAAATCAAGCTTGTTGACAGAGAAGCAATCAATCATTATGACAGATTTATTCTCTGTCAACAAGCTTGATTTTCTCCATGATGCCAACAAGCTTGATTTTCTCCGTGATGCTCTCCTATATTTGGTAAATTGGGATTGCAGAAGTTCGAACCCTTGACTGACTCTAAATCAAGTTATTTTAGTTAATGGTATTTTTTGGGCTGAATTTTAGTTAATGGTATTGACTTGGGTGATCTCTTTTTGGCTCAAAACTGTTTTCTTTAAGCAAATTGTTAGATTTCTGATTTTCAAATTGTTTGTTTTTACCTTAATTAGCAGCTACTTAATTAATCCTGTGGGTTCAAATATAGAAGTGTCACCAAGTGATTGTATTTGAATCATATGTTTTCCATACAGGACCCATATGATCAGAAAGAATTATGCTTGTAGTTCAGCAAATCATCTACTGCTGCTGCTACTAATTTGCTTGGCCTAATTTGGTTGTTAGTGTCAGTTTCTTTGATTCCTTCTTCTAAATCTTCAGGTATGCAATCCCTTTTGTCATATTCTCTTTCAAATATAAACTGATAACATAAATATTTAAGTTTATTCATAAAGACGACTCATTAGCATCTCAACCTCTGCCTATAATCCATTTTCCAGCTCAAATCAGATCATCAAGAAGAAAAGAAAAGGCCCTAATTAAGGATCTCAGAAGCATTTCAACCTCGGACTCAGGTGCTCAATTCTCATCAATTATATAGTAACAAATATGGTTAGACTTTTTTTATATATACAAACAAATATGCAATAGTCTTAAATGTCTTAATTAGTAATAACGTGGGTGAAATAGCACAATCATTACCGGTTTTAGGAATTTTGCAAATGGGCATATATATATTTTATAGCCGTCGAGATATCCCTCGTACCTCTTTAATAGTATACTTTTTTTTTTTTTTGGCAATTAAAAAAGAATTTAAGCCTTAGTATAGGTCTCATGTTCAAACTTTAGAACCGATAAAAATACATTTTGAAAAAGAGATGGCTATAATAAATAGCCTATGGGTTGATTTGTTGTATGGAACACCTATTCCATTGTCAAAAGGATAAAATTAAGGTAAATGAGAATTTTAATACATCCAAAGAAAATAAATAAATGATTCAGTCATAATTCTATTCGTAATGTAAATTGTTTAATTAGAATACATGATTCAGTCATAATTCTTTAATTCTTTAATGAACACCGAAGAAGCTCAAGCTGATCCACATTATTTATCCCATTTTCAGGACCTTTCTCTTAATCAATGGCTAACATTGTAGGCGCAGTCATTAACGTAGTCAACTGCATTTGCAGTGCTCCAACTTGCTATTATATAGACAGCCATATAAATTTTAATGACAATGTGGAAGAGCTTAGAAGGAATTTGGGAGATCTAAACAATAGAAAACAAGTATAGAATCAAGAATGCTAGAAGTTCGCCCAGGGCAAGTGGTCAGACAAGAAGTGCAAGGCTGGCATCAGAATGTACAAGCCATCAAAGGTGATGTACAAGCTCTTTTAGAAAAGGTGCATAGAGCTAAGTGGTACAAGTGTGCCCATCTTGGTAAACTTGTTCGTAGAAAAATTGATGTGGTAAAAGCAATCTATGATCAAGGTGTTTTTTCTGAAGCCCTTGTAATTAAGAGAGCTACAGTTGATCATGGAATTATAATTCCAACAGAGAATTTAGTGGGTGAAATTTCTACCAAAGATGAAATTTGGGGTTACCTGATGGGCAATCAGGTTGGAATGATTGGAGTTTTTGGGATTGGTGGAGTTGGAAAGACTACAATCATGAAGCATATTAATAATGAATTGTTGAGGGTGAACATGTTTCATAAAGTGCTTTGGGTCACTGTGTCTTACCCTCTTAATATTTTTGAATTACAAAAGAATATTGCTAGTGCTATGGGAGAAAGACGTCCGGGATATGAGCAAGATCAGATGAGGCGAG